TGCTGACAAAATGAAGGGACTGTGGGAGAAGTTGCATATAGGAACAAAAAAAAATCCAGTGGGCACAGCAATAGCAAAACGATGATGTTCTTGTGTCTGGCTAATCTCAAGTATACACACACAAGCATACACACACTCGCAAGCACATGCACACACCTCCAAGCAGGGGGCTTAGTGGCATATTTTACCTATTATCCAAATGAGTACCTTCCACAAACCCACCAATCAGGTTCCCTTTTATCTTTTATAGGCTGATTAACTTAACAGGCTTCACATGCGGCATTGGGTGCAGGCCTGTGTGTGTGTGTGCTCAGTTATGACCATGTGTGCATGTATGTTTGTCAGGATGTGTCAGTGTGCTGAGGGTTTGCGTATATGAATGTAAGTGTGTGTGCACGTACCTTGCTGCAGAGACTGCATGGTGGCGGTGGGCTGCAGTGGGACCAGACCTTGTCTCTGGAGGTTGAGGATGTGCTGCTGCTGGAGCTGCTGCATCTGGATCAGCTGCTGCTGGAAGGCCAACTGCTTACTGCCTAACTGCTGTTAGAAGACAGAGAGACAGAAGGTAGAAAAAGTTGGGTCCAAGTGATCTACAGTCAGTAGTTTATCCAGTTTTTTTTATTATTATTTATTACTTATTTGATTTGATTTGTAGAATACAATAAAACAAAATTAGGACTAAAACTTTTGTTAAAGCACATTTTTCAATGGTAATTTTGAACTTCATACATACTTGCCCTGATTGATTTTTTTTCTTTTCTAACATCTAAGAAGAAGCCCTTCCCTATTCTGTTTTTATGATTTCAGTTGGTCTGCTTGTTGCAATAAATCATTCAGTCTCACCTAATCAAGTATAAAGTTAAATAAATAAAAGGATGATATAAAGGTTAATTGTCTGGTGCTGAAAAACAATGTGAGAACTGGGGCCTTAGTGCAGAAAATTAGTCATGTATTAAAAGGAAGAAAAGCCCGAAGCCAAGCTGTGAGGATCCCAAGGATGAAGAGAAGAAGGGAAGGGAATGAGGGAGGTTGAAGGGAGAGGGGGAGAGACAACATGGCGCGTGGCGATAATGTCGGTGTGTGTTACGGTGATAAATGTCCCCTTTCCTGCTCTCCCAGTCTAGGGCAGACCTGGCCTGTGCTGCGCTGTTTGAAGTCCCCCCTGATCAGTCCCTGAGAGAGATGGACTTTATCTATCACAGATAACTAGAGGAGGGAAAAAGTAAATAAATACAACTTGAGGAACTGCTCATTGTGTGTGCATATGTGCATTTGTATGTGTATGTGTGTGTGAGAGAGGGAGAG